TAGCTATGGATGCATGAAAAAACATTGCTAGTGCAAAAGTTTGTAACAAAAAACATCTGCGTTTGACTAAGCATCTAGGCTGATAGGAAGTATTGCTTTTCAAGCAATGGAAAAGAGCAGTTTAATTCTTGATAAGACATTAATTGAGAAAGAATTGAGAAAAGTTAGTCCAAAAAGACCGTCTGAATTGAGAAAGAAATTACTTACTATCGGTGACGTAAAATCGCTAACAGCAGATGATGACAGTACTAATGTTGAAGCTGCTAAAGATTATTATTTTATTCACCTGAGTTTTCAAGAACTTTTTGCAGCACCGTATTTGATTAACGCTCTCCAAAATCCTAAACGTAAATGTTATACAAAAGCAATCAACTTCATCCAATTCCAAAAGTACAACCAACGATTTTTACTAGTATTTACCTTTAGTAAATTCCGATTTCGACTATAGTGTAGATTAGAAAAATCTGTATGATTTTATTTCTAGTGGAATTCGGAATTTCCCTATAGTAGAAAATAGAATCCCAATTTCCACTAGTTGAAATTAGAATAGTCACTTTATTCTAATTTGCACTAGTGGAGATTAGAATTGCAATTAGCACTAGTGGAAATTAGAATTCCAATTTCCACTAGTGGAATTCCGAATTCCCCTGAATTGCAATTTCCACTGTCACAGTTACATCGAACAAGAAACCTAACAATAGAACGAAACTTTTTCCGTTCTGTTTATTTTTATTTTTATCCTTCTGTTTTCTTAGACGATGAGGAATAATGAAGAAATATCTTTACCATTATGATCTTATGTATACTTTACGCTTAAGTATGCAATAGGTAAGGTGCTAATAATGCAAACTTGAAGCAAAACTTTTTCCTAGTTTGTTCTACATGATTGTACAGTCGCGCCTGATGTGATCAATGGATTGCTGGCAGCACTTGGCGATGAACATAATAATGTCAGATCTTGTGCAGCTCAAGCTCTCGGGAAAATGGATGATAGTGCAGCCACGACTGATGTGGTCAGAGGATTGTTGGCTGCCCTTGGTGATGAACATTAGTTTATCAGTCGTCGTGCAGCTCAAGCTCTGAGCAAAATGGGTACAAATGCAGTCAAGGCTGATGTGATCAACGGATTGTTGGCTGCACTTC